TTCATCATCCCAAAAGCCCGAGACTCTGAACCCTGGACCCCCTAAAGCCTGAAACCCGAGGGTTTTAGGGTTTTAGGGTTTTAGGGTTTAGGGTTTTAGGGTTTTAGGGTTTTAGGGTTTTAGGGTTTAAGAATCCGAAACCTTGGGACGCCTTACACTCCGAGACGACCCGAAGCTAAATCTGAGATTCGGGGGGCAGGTCTGGTCTTGGTGCCTGGAGCATGGATACGAGATGTTGCAGAGGGCTCAGACCTGTGCTGTAGTCTGTGCCTTCTGAGGCTTCATGGTTCCAGCTTTAGACCCTAAATTCTAAACCCTATACCATAACCCTAAACCCTAAACGGTTTTTTTGGGGGATGTCATGTGTCTAAGTGCAAGGCAGTGCCCTCTACGCTCGGACGACCTTAAAGCTCTCCGACATCGAGTGGAAGGAGCCACGGGAAAGGGGCAACATTTCTGAAAAGGACATCATCAGTACGAGTAGGTCAGTAAGGCGCCTTATGCTTATATTCGCTCCATTTCTGGAATGGTATGGCGGGCCTAAACCCTAAACCCTAAACCGTGTTTCTGCTGCAGCCGGACTTCGCATTGCTTGCCTCTTGGTGTAGCTTTGATGTGAAGACATGCGAAGACTGTGGCCGGAGGAGCTCGCCAGGGTAGGCCTGGCCCATCTCAATTGTTTTTTTATGATTATGATTATTAGTAACATTATCTATATTATTGATGTTGATAGGTCTTATTATTGATACTGATATTGATATTACTCTTATTATTCGTACTAGTACTGCCATTATTAATGTGTGGGTTCAGTTCCTCTCAGAGGGCTTTTAGGGCAACTGAGCAGGCCACTGGGCTTGCTGTCGGATGAGAGCGATGGCACCGTGATGAGGGTACTCGAGGCCTCGAGCGTTCTGGCATCTCTTCTCCTTGTGTCATCGTTTCGTAGACTTCAACTTCCATCATACCTCTGTTTGTATATCCCTCCTTCGTTTCTGCATGTCTGGCTTAGAAAATGCGGTCTGGTTTCTTTCTTGATGGCCGCTAGATTTAACCTTCGCGTGACATGTTGCTCCCCATGCGCTTCTCTCACTGGGTTTGCCTACGAAGGCGCAGCCTCAACCGTTAACCCTAACAATGCGGCTTAATCCTTTGGTTCTTGTCCGTGTCTGCCCTCTCTGCCTTTAGCGTTCTGGCGGTGCTGGCTCTCTGACTACGGCTCTGGGAATACCGCTTTGCAGGGTGTCCCAGACGCCTGAAGCTCTGAACCTTCCCTAAAGACATCTTACATCCTTAAACTCTGAAGCACTAAACCTTCAAGCTTCATCCGGTCTTCTCTGAATGCGTAGCCAGCGCAAGATGTCTTGGAATGGTGCCCGGGCACCTCTTATTTGGGCCTATGCAGGGGTGTCTTCGTTTTTTTTTTTTTTTTTT